TTCACATTAAAATCAGAGAATAAAAGCAACACTCAAATTATACTTTAGTAATTTATTTTTAAATTTAGGTCACTGTTAATTTAGCAATTTATGTTTTAAACTTATCAAATAAAAAATATTGAATCTACAATGTTGTGTATCTATCATATTTCTCAGCATAATTCAACTTTGTTCATATTCAGAAAATTAAAAATTATTAATATGTATGGTATTTAAATCCAGCACCCTTTATTTTACTGAGAGTAAAATTTAAGCAGTGCCAGTTCCTGGGTTATGAATATCAGAATCGTTGATTTTAAGCTTTTAAAAGATTTTTAACACTGAAATTACAAGGTGGAGCTGAAGTGTGCCGCCCACAGCAGGCCACAATGGGGTGTGAGAGGCAAAATATATATATATAATATATATATATATATATATATATATATATATATATATATATATATATATATATATATCACTCACATACTTTTCCCTCTTCCAGTAGAGGATTATCTCACAGCAGGTTAGAATCTCCCTTCCTCCCTTTTTCTACTACCTGGAGTAACAATCTGTCTGTTTAGTACTTGGAATAAGAACAGAAACTGCTGACTCAAAATGGCAGCAGTTGAGCCTCTCTCACTCCAACATTTCCGCTCTATCATCTTCGGCTGAAAAAAAAATCAGCTAATTTCGTGAGATATAGCGCATTTGTCCGTATTTCGTGTTATTTCGCATTCTAACTAGTATTTCGGTATTAAACGTACATTTGGTTGCCGTCTATCTTGTTACAGAAGAATAAATCGGAAGCAGTTGCGGATAATGAGGTGTCGCAGGTCAATACGGTGTTTGCTTTTCTCTACCTGGGTTACCTGTAGTATAAACACTGGTCACTATAACGTGGTTCTGCAGCGTTATTCATCTCGCGGTGTGTAATGGGCATAATGCTACTTCCTTATGAATTTCCTAAGTACGTACAGTAACCCAACGGCTCTTTGGTGGTTATTGGTTCCTTCCATGTGCAAAAAATACAGTTGTGAGCAATCACCACCGTATCTTGCAAAATTTAATTATTTAACACTGAATGATAGGGTATTCAACTAGAGGCATCGAAAAATAAGGGGAGTGGGGCAAGGAGGTATTTGACCCCGCCCCAATACCAATAAAGAGCATCTAACATTTCAGGTGGTATAGCTAGATTTTCATACTTTACGTGTATTTAATATAACTGTGCGATTCGTTTGCCTCAGCTTCCGGGAACACAACCTCAGCCCAATCTGCTTTCTGCCTTTTCACTTACAAGGGACAGGAAAAGGGGATGGCCACCAAAACAAACATACCAGAAATTTGAGCTTTAGTTGAATGTTTAGTGCATCTGACTGTGTCCAAAAGATAGGGTTTGGTTCAAACACTACCAAGAACATAACCAACCATAAATTTCAACTTAGTTTTAAATTGTCTTTTTTTTAATGCACACTACAGCTTTAATATCTGCAAGTACAAATGACTTCCTTTTATTACAAATGTCTCCCTTTGAATTCATTAAAACACACTTTGAATTCACACAACAGTTTTAAAACTTTCGGGTGCACAATTACTTCAATCCAATCCAATTTCCCTCGTATGATTTCCATTTAACACACATTTTAATATTTGGTATAATTCTGACTTTACCTTAGCCGAATAAACTAAGTAAAATCCTATCCACTCGGTACCCATTTAATATTTCTCCAGGATTCTTCACCACCTTTCACCGAAATACAAAACTTTCCTGGTAACATATAATTACGATTCTTCTACTTAAAACTATACACGCACATTTAGAGATGCGAGCTGGAGGTGAATGGTATCACAGAGCCTTTTTTTTTTTCATCGCCAATTTTCTTTCCTACACAAAGATATAATCTCACATGCGCGCACCAAAACAACTTTTACCTCTCCAATCAGATCCATATAGGCCCAAAGATATTCTCCTCGCCGTTTCCATAGAATTGGCGGTTTTGCCACGGATCACCTTCCACACACACACCATTTACCATCAACTACAACAAGGTTGAGGAATGGGGCAAGTGATACTCTCCCTTCCATACCACTTAAGTGGCAGGTACTTCCGCTCCTCTTCATCCACTCACTCCCACACAAAATCAAAACCATCAATTTGTTGGGGGACACCGGGCAAGGGGTACTCTCCCCTCCATACCACTTGAGTGGCAGACACTTCCTGCTCTCCACACAATCACTTACCTCAACACTCAATTAAGACCAACCCACACACACATACACACACACACTGCAGCTCTTTCCCAAAGTTAATCAAACTGTACTAATTTATCCTCTTCCACCTCCAAAACTCTTCTTTTCTCCGAGTTAGCGTCGAATCCAACTTCACGAAAAAAAAAAAAAAACTGTCCCAGGACCTCCTGATTCATTCTACTCACTTTCTGCGCGTTTAGTGTTCAAAACGGCCTAGACACCAGCACTCACTTCTCCCGAGTATTTCAGTTCCATTTGGGATTAAACTCACACCTTCAACTACCACGGCCGCAAAACTCCTCTCCTTTACTCCACTATATTCCACCAAGTCCTCACACCACATCGTACTCTTCCAAAACTAAGTGCAACGTCATTTAGTACTTTACAATTTCAGCTAAATCAATTTTTCCTAGAGACTCGAATCCGCAACACAAGTTCACTTAGTCTGGCAAAAATCCAACATCACTGAAAACAGCGGGAATTATTAAGAACTAAGTTCACTCGGCCCAAATGCTAAGTTCACGAGGCACGGAAAAAATTTATAACTGTAGAATTCACTCTGACAAATGCTAAGTCCAAGAAGGAGGACTCGAGAAAATTTATGAGTTTCCACTTCACTCGGCCCAATCCTAAGTCCAAAAAGAGAGGCAAGAGAGAAAAAAATTAGGTATCAACTTTACTTTCGCCCGAGCACCGCTACTTATACTCGGCGCGATCCCTAACCCTCGCTGTACCCTCTCACCGCTCCCCTCCTCACCACACACACGCAGCCGCACGCACGCAAAACACACACACACACACACACACACACACACACACACACACCTGCAGCGCTCTCTTTACCACACGAGCGCCCTCTATACGATGGTAGCGCACTCTTTACCAACACACATAATAAAAATACAAGAGAGTGGCACCAAAGCCATCCTATCAGATGTGAACAGCAAAGTCGCACCTAAATTGTCTTGCACAGGAAACGCCCCACACGACCACACCGTGCGGGAAGACTAGACGCCGCCGATAAGGGGCACACAACTGCGTAAGAGAACACAACCAAACACATGATCTGTTCCTCGTGACGGACAACCCCATCGCAACTGGAGGTCACTAAAAAAATGTTAAACCCCATTTATGTACTGGTATGAGTTTTTTATGGACAAATTTGTGGATAGGAAGCAGCGTGTGTGTATAAACACTGGCGTGATAGCTTCATAAAATAAATTGTCGCTAGGGACGCTTTATCCAGCACCAGGGGTGCTAAATTTTCCGCATGACTTTACCCCCTCCTAACATAACATGAGAAAGGTTCCTACGCTTCTGTTCAGCTATACCAAGAAGCACCCGTTGTTTTCGAAAAGATTCCATGTCTAGTTGTATTTTTGTATTTCCAAACATTTTAGCTCAGAACTGTGATGTATTCTTAAGTTTATGGCTCGGCAAAGCCAGTAACAAATTTTTTTTCGAAGTAGTTATTGCTACACTGCTGCTGATAGTATCATGTACATAACTGCCCACAGGAGATAATAATCTAGCTGCCACCAGTTAAAAATTTACATTGCCTAAAAGCTGTAACAATTTGATAACGTTTGGAAAGTGGTTAGTTATGGTCTGTAGTGCAAAAATCATTTTGTATTGGGAGTTGCGTTGAAAAATTCATAAATCCAAGAAAGCGGGGATTTATCGCGTTTAATTATATGGCTTACGTAGGTTATCTGATAGGCCCTGTAAGACCAGCGGTCCGTAACGGAAGAGATGCTGTAAGCGTACACGTTGAATATCGTAGTCTAGCATGCACGTAAATATCTTCTTGAAAAATAGGTGTACATCGCTGTAATGATATATAGGTAAAGACACTGGTGTGTTGAGCTTGTTTCGCGATGTAAAACATGCACATACTTAATGAATATGTGCATATCAAAATTAAAGTAGTTATTCCTTATATGTGGTTATGGTCATCGTGCACGTTACAGCTGTTTACATATGCAATGGAAGCGAACCGTACCGTAAAGAATCGCTACATTAATTTTGATAAATTCACATTCGTGATGCACACGTTTTTCATAGTGATCTGTTCTCTACAGTGCGCGCCAACTAAGTTGTTGTGTGGTAGGCTGTTGAGGGGAGAGTAACATCCCAAGCATTCGAGCAACGCCACGAACAATTCATATACCCATACATTATAACATCATTCTCAAGTTCAATAGTCATTATAACTGGAAATATATTTATTTGGTAAAAATAATAAAACACTTTGCTCGCTCGCCGCCAACAAAATACTTGTTCGAATAGAGCCAAAGATATATTAAGTTGCCCCAAAAAAACATTTTGTTGAGTAAACAAAACTTTAAAAAGTCAACCAAATTAATTTTGCTCGTCTAACAAAATACACGCTTGAATAAACGAAAACTCTGTTTTCGGCCAAAAGAAATAAGACCGTCAACAAAGACTTTTTTTTAAACTAACTGTATATCTTTATTTGACCACTCAGTTGATTGCCTACGTTCAAAAATACACCTCCGGTGTTTTTTTTTTTGTAATTTGTATGACAATTAAGGCAGTAACAGTGCTTATTAGTGCATTTATTAATACTTTAAAATGGTATAAATATATATATATATATATAAATAACTGAAGTTAAATAGGAAACTGGTAAGTAAAGTTGTAGAACTTGAGATATTTATTGGCGCATTTTGTCTGGTAATTAAAATGTGTAATATTTAAAAAAAATTCTTATTTAGTCAGTAGTGGCATTAGCATATGTTTTCTGGCCCCCGGTGGCGCAGTCGGTTGCGTGCCGGCTTGCAACACCGGAGCTCCGGGGTTCGAGTGCCATGCCAGGGACTGGCTGGCATTTGTTCACGTCTGTGTAAGTCGTTCTTCCTGATAATGCGCCAGTAAACATTGCCACATGCCAGGTGTATCTGTCAATAAAGTACTTGTTTGAAAATAAAGGCCGCTAAGGCACAAAACGGCCCAGGTTCGAACCTCGGTTGGCCTTTCATATTTTTTTTTTTTTTTTGTATTAGCCAAAACTGTTTAATGAACGCAGTGCCATACAAGCCTTTAATTGCGCCAGCCAAATATTACTCTTTAGGGCAACCAGATAAGAAGAGGATAATGATATGGTTTAAACAACATGGCGCCGGCTAACAGCCAGCGGCGCTAAGCCCATGACGACGCTCACCACACATGTGACACGTGTGCATGCACGTGCTCAAAGAGGCTCCAATTTGAACTTTCCTATAACAGAATATTATTTACAATGTAAAATATGTCTTCTTTATTTTTCAGGGTCTAAAATGTCCTAAAGTGTTTTGAAAAATATGTGTGTGTAAATATTGAAAATGTTTGGTTATGAATTCAAAGTGCGCGCTGCGCGAAGATTTAAGCACAGTAATATTCCGGCGTGAACGCCGTCATAAAGAGACACTAAAATGATACAGAAAATCAATAAAAAAAAATTTAAAATGTAAAACACTATTTAAAATATTTTGTGTCAATTTATATATATATATAAAGTTTTACTCAGCGTGCATAACACTTCCGCTTATATGAACCCCTTAGGCAGCCATGGTAGGTCCGTGCGACGCTAGCCTCGGTGCAGTCGTTGTAGGAGGTCTGGCGAGGTAAGACGCTGCCACGTACGCACTTCAAACTTTTTGCACTGATGTACATTACCATAGGTCTTTATAAGTATACCAGTTATACTTTGCTCGCGTACGTTTTTGCCAGATAATTTCCTCAGCATTATGCTTCCGCTTAAATAAATAACTTGTGCCCTTGCGGCTTTTTGAAACTTAAACGAGGAGAAAGGGAGAAAGATTTCAGAGAGGTCATGCGACCCGCGAAACTTGAATCAGGCGCCATCCGCCTATGCTAAAGGCGTTTCATTGCAATTTCTTTATTATTTTGGCGCTCAATCTTAAGGGCTTTGTTTTTGTGTATTTATTCAAGTGTATTTTTCATGTTTAATTATTTTACGGCCACATCTATTGCGACCACTTGGATCATAGCCGCCAAGTCGATAACTGCGCCATTCATGCAGTTTGAGGGTTTATTTGTGTAATAGCATGTGCGCCACACTTTTATTCAGGGTTCTATGTCCATTTTTTTTTCAGGGTTCAGTGTATTTTTCGTGTGATTGATTATTTGTATGTCTGACCACGCGGTCATTTCCCATGTCTGATTTTCTTGCCGTCCGGCATACTAGAGGCTCAAAACCGATTCAATCTGCAACGGAATAATTTTTCCAACCAGAGAATGATATTTTGTCTGTCCAAAATCCGCCGTCTTTGCGGAGAAATGCACCATTTTCACCCTCACCACGTGCTCCGCTGCAACACTTATCCAGCGGCATCCGCGCCATCTAATACTGCTTTCACGCGCTTGCGTGTTTACTGTGATCACTCATGTCGTGCCCCATCATTTTCCAAGCGTGTTTATGTGATTGTGTGTAATTTTGTACGGTGACATTATTTCCGTCCTAGCCGGCTATGTGCATAGGCCGTCAATTCACTAACCACGTGCTGCAAGACGAGCCCCGACGAGTCCGCGTTAGTGACGCCAAATAATCACACGTGTTTATGTAACTTGTTCATTTTTGTCTCATTTCATTATTCTCTGCGCCCTATCTTCAGGGAAAATCGTTAGTCCACCCTAGCGGCTGGCGACCTCCTTCCCTTGTGAAGATTGTGTTTCCAAACACCACTTGGGAAGTGCGCTAGAGTAATTTCGAGCTGGGGAGCACCCAACCGGAGTAGGCTAGACACGACCGAGAGTAATTCACTAATAAAATTCTGGCACGTTTTTCTTTTTTTTGTGGTAATGATAAAAGGAAGTAGTACAGTGCAAAAAGTGTTTCTCTTTTTGTAATGACAGCTACCTCTTGCCATTGTTTTCTAAAAGCTTGGTATTGCAAAGTGTATCGTAAGTGCGCTCGGGTGAGACGGACACTCAGAGCCCACAGCATCCCTGAGGACCCTGAGTCTCAACAGTGCGGTGACTTGGAAACACCGCTAGCGCCCTCATCAGTAAGTAATTTGTGTCATCGTTCGTCTCGTTTCTCGCCCTACGGCGTCAAACAAAATATTTCATTTGCCGTATATAAACAATAAAATTGGTTGCGGCGAACGAACTTTTTTGATTTAGCAAAACCTTTTTCTCGGTGCGCCTGCCAACTACGAGGAACTGTATGTACAGGCTGTTCACGGTAAAGTGGCCACTTTTGAGGCCCTAGTTTCTTTTTCCTTCCATTGATTTGTATAATTTAACCATACCTTTTTAAAGCAAATATTGCCATGTAAGTGATAAACAGTGTGTGTATTTCACCGCACTAGGAAGTTAACGTCTAAGGCTAAAATAAAATTTATTGATCGACTATTTTTCCATGAGAGAGGGCTTTCAAAAGCTCTCACTTTACCGTGAATAGCCTATGTGCGTGTGTCAGCTGAGCGGAGACGCTCTCGCTGGTATGTTCGCAGAGATAGCGGTTGTGATGTCTCGCGAGAGGACTTTGGACCAGGCTCACCTCGCCGAGGCCAACAGCTTTCTGCCGGAGGGCAACTACCGCGACACTAACCAGTCCGAGTGTCCGGAACACGGCCATGGCGGACACGCTGGCCACGGACATGGCGGACACGCCCACCACCACTGAGCCGCGGAGCACGTCTCATCTAAGAAATTTCGCCTTTTGTAGTAGTAATTAAAGAGTGCATTGTTTCGTGCCATGTATTGCGCCGTCTGTCTAACATCTCTCTCGGTTCGAATAAAAAGCAGTGTGTTTCGAAATGAGAAATTTTGCCTCAGTATTAATAGTTCACAATTGCAGTTGTGTGTTGGCCTGTACCCAGCTTATCAATGGTAAGTAATTCCTGTCGAATTCCAACTACTTGATATCCAGTCAGGGCACCCGGGGGCGAAGATGCCCGCCATGGAGTAAAGACTAGGTAGACCGCTTATTCGTCTTCCGTGCATGTACCCAACATTCACCTACCCCAATCATACACAACTGTCAAAGTCACATGGTCAACAGTGATTGACGTGTATGTTTGTATATTAATTTTTAAATCACAAGCACTATCATATTAATAGAAATGAAATGTCGATCCTAGCGCAACACAATTTTTTCTGATAATTTTAGCCAAAAATAAAACAAAAAATAGCATTAACTTTTAATTGCTATTTTTAACGAAAGTACAATAAAAAATTTAAAAAACTCAAAATTTGAAATTCGATGAAAAAAACGGTCAAAATAAAGCAAATTCCTCGTTTTCAAGCTACTTTTTCATGTTTCATGTTTTCGTGTTTTCAATTTTAAAAACAACCAATTTTCATTGAAAATCAAGCAATTTATACCTACAATTACACAAATTTTGCAATATTTTACAAAAGGGGGCATGCAGAAATTTTGATACTATAAAAACAAGCAATTCGCACCAAAAGTACAAGAAAAATTAGCACTAACAATTTCTTGCTATTTGTATCGAAAGCACAAGAAAAGAATTAAAAAGTCAAAATCTCAAATTTGATGAAAAAAACTATCAAAATCAAACCAATTTAAGCTAAAAATAAAAGAAATGTTAAAAAAGATAATTAATGGAATTTATAAATTTTATTCAACAAAAGTAAAACGCCAATAAGATTTTTTAAAGTCTAAAATTAAAGAAAAATCTGAAGCATAGTTATTACTCAATCCATAATCCCAACCATATCACAACAATCCAAACCATAAACATCGTCTTTAAAACTAGACAATTTATCAGATCTGAGATAATTTTTATCGATTTTTAAAACAATTTTGAAATTAATAATGTCCAATTCTTTATCTATAAAAGTTTCTGTTTTTAAAATTTCATATCCATTATCCCAAAGTTCTAAAAGTTTGATCAATTTATAATAATACAATTTTATATATATTTTAATTAAAAAAAAGTGATACTATGAGAAAATTTTAACTAGAAAAATGATTTTTTATATGATCAAATAATTCATCTGTATTTCTAAAACTTCGTAAAAAAAATTTATGCAACAACTTAACTATGAGTCTAAAAAAAATGGAATGAAAATATCGAAACAATTTCATGTATCTGTAAAATCGTTTACGTTATCCATTTAATAAAATTAAAAATTTAAATATCTTAAGTGATATTTTCTTTCAAATAATCATAAGTTAAATTTCGTTGGTTAGTTAAAACAACATTACAAATTGTATTAGCATCAACAGATTATTTTTAAATCTACCCTAATTTATATATTTGTTTTATCTTTAACTACTGCTGTTTTCCTTTATAGGCAGTCAGTAACATATAATGGTCTTCTTCCCCAAAATGAATAATAATTGATATCGCCATGATAATCTAGAGTTGGCTTATAATAAAGTTCATTATTTCTATATATAGTATCTATTTTTTTCCTCTAAAATCTTTAAAAGCCAGAAACATTTAAAGACAAAGATCATTTTCAATATCTATATTCCGATTTTCTTATGGAAAAATTTCATTTCTACAATTTAAAAAATATATTTCTCACGTTACAGTGATCAAACATTGAAGCATGCACATATTGCTCAGCCCGATTTTTTCTATTAGTTTGGCAACCCACTATCACAAAATCAGGCATGTCAGATTGTAATTTATTAAACTGATCTTTTATATCAACATTTAAAACAATTGCCCCGGCAGGAACTTCTTTTTATAAAAATTGCCAATACCTAAAACCAATATGAATTTTAGGATTTTTATATATTTTTTCTTTGATTTTAATTTATGTGTTAGCTTCGTATTCAACAATGGGCCACATAATTTATAATTTTTCAATAACAATTTTACCTGGATCAGCATAAGT